ATATGCCGCTAACGGCTATTGATAATTAAATCAATAAAAGCGGATAATCGAGACTATGCTGTTTATATTAATGATTTTAGTAATGATGACCAAGACTATGCAAAAATTTCACCCGCTTCTTTCTCGACTCATAGTGGATCAATTTGACTGAAATTTTCAGCAAATTACCTTTACACTATCTAGTTTTTAACTATTATAGCGAGAACTGCCATCTCTTTATCTTATCTCCCATAATGTATCTTTAATTAGGCATTAATTAACTTATCCAGACCATAATCAACTGTAGATGGCATCGCTAGCCTGCAATTATTCAGTATCTTCTTCTTTAAACATACATTGTAATAATCATATTAAACATGCATTATACAAGAGCTAAATCTGTCTATTGCAGGTCTTTCTTTAGGCCTAAAATGGTATCTAAATTATGAATTAAACATTAATTAACTTATCCAGGCCATAATCAACTTTTGATGTCATCTTATCTTTTCGATTGACATTGGATTTGAATCCGATCTGCTGTTCAGAGTCTGTTGATGATTAAACGCAATAATGGTTAGTCGAGACTTTGTTAATTATCGTGACAGCGGTAACAATGACAATCAAGGCTACAGTGATTTTAAAATAAGGTTTTCTTGGCTTAAGAGTGAAGCAGCTTGACTGAAATTTTTAGCATAATCCATCTACATTATTATCTATTTTTTAACTATTATAGTGAGAACTCCCAGTTCTTTATCTAATCTCCCATTATGTATCTTGAATATTTGATTACCGGTAATAAAGTGTCAGTGGTAGATAAGAGGTCGACAAGGACTGTCGTTTAGTCAAGTGGTTTTGATTCCCCGTTTGTAGGATCGCCTGTCTAACCTTAAGGGTTTCTCTTGGTCCTCCAGTTTCGTCTCACAGCTAAAGACCCCTACACTCAAGAAAATTAATGAAATCAAATTGAACCTTATGTTAGTCCTGAAATGACCTAGTTTATGTCGAGTTGATGGACGTTAAGCTCTCTCCTCTAAGGACGTTAAAAGGGTAAACATACCTCCAGGACTCCACCACAATTTATTTAGCCGTTGCGCAGTGTGGAAAATGTGACTGAAAGATTTGTTGCTTAGCAGATCAAATGCAACTGAAAATTTGATTTCCCAGCAAGAAATCTTGCTTGTTAGTATTAGGCCTATCAAGAAATCTTGCTTGCTATAAATAAGGCCCATCTGAATACTAGGATGATTTTGTTTTCTTGCCTGATCATAGACGTCCTGTTGCCTATACAGGATAGAGAGTCTGGCAAACAACAGCATCTAGTTGTTCGGATGGGACAAAAAACAGCATCTAGTTGTTCAGATCTTGTGTACACATCACATAAAGAATCCTAGTCAGTTGCTGCCCGGACAAAATTCCCCCCCCCCCATAGGATTTTAAAGGGACAATAACACTCGTGCTGGCTTGACAGCTCCAAAAAATAAAAAATAGCCTTATTCTAAGTACTAGATGTGTTAGTGTCCTACTTGTTGTGTAAATTATCCATTAAATCCTATTTTACTTGTCCAGAGGGTTCAAAAATATTTTTAAATCCAAGTCACATTTGAAAAGCTTTACGTCAGGCTTTTCAAATCATTTAGTTGAATTTTTCCAATTTTTTAAATTAGGTGTGTTAAGATGAAATTTGTATCATCAATTAATTGGAATATTGTAAAATAGTGCAATTTGTTGACCAGAATAAAGATTGGGACATATTATTCAGTTACAACAAGAGTGGTATTGAGCCTTTAAAAGATCATTTTATTTCATTTATCCATTCTGTTGCCTCAAGTTGCCTGGTGCCCATTTTTACGAACCCTGTACAATGCAGGCCTGTATCTAGCGGGGAGGGGCAAGGCGGGCAGCCCAACCAATGTCACTCAGCGTTACAGGGCACCTATACTGATATGGGCAAGTTGGTCGTTGGTTTTGTATTGCGTCCAATGGAAAGGGTGCAGGTTTGGCTAGCTACAGGCCTGGCATCAGCCATGTTACCTGTTTGATGTTTTCATATATTTTACCTATAAATGGTTAATTCGTCCGTACTGTTCTTGACAATTGTTAACATCAACCTTGTTATTATCTGTTCCTGGTTTGGATTGTTTTATGCAAACACCTGTAGAATTTGACCGTATCGTAATAACGAAACCCTGGAGTTTACACCTGATAAAGGTGAATTAGGATAGGTCTGTTTATTGACAAACTTCATGTCAGGTGTGATAAGGGCACCCAGTCTCCTTAAAGCTGCATTATGTAGGAGATATAAATCTGTCTATTGCAGATCTTTCTGTTGACATCAAATTTTATATAAATTACTAATTAGGCATTTATTAATTTGATTAAAATACAGATCTATATTTCATTTCGTTTTTTTATACTTTCGTTTTGTTTTGTTTTTTTATACTTTCGATGGCCTACACTACATGAAGATCTGACATGTTGTACTAGAAGGTCACGACAGTGGTTTTATGAGCAGCTTTTGACCCTATGTCGTCAGAAGTTGATTAATCAATCAGCGTTGATGTTTCTAGTGGTTTACCCACAGTTCTGTGCATCGCGTTCTCACTTCAACAAGAACGCCCGTTATATAACAACTCTTCCAGATCCTAGTGTAGTAAAGACAAGTAAAACAAAATTTTGAACTATAAAAAACAAAACGAAAAAGGATCTGTGTTTTAATCAGGTTGGACATTCATTCACATGCCAAGCCCATAGTCAACTCTCTAGATCATCGGATGGTTTTGATTTTCAACGGACTTAAGCACAAATGACTGTTAATAATTTAATTTAAAAAATGGATAATCGAGACTTTGTTTATTATCATAACAATAGTAGCAATGACAATCATGACCTCTGCTCATAATGAAGTAATTTGACTGAAATTTTCAACATATTCTCCTATCATTATCTATTTTCAACATATTCTCCTATCATTATCTATTTTCAACATATTCTCCTATCATTATCTATTTTCAACATATTCTCCTATCATTATCTATTTTCAACATATTCTCCTATCATCATCTATTTTCAACATATTCTCCTATCATTATCTATTTTCAATATTTTCTCCAATCATTATTTATTTTCAGCATTTTCCCCTTTTACTATCTAATTTTTAACTATTTTGGCGAGAGCTGTCAGCTCTTTATCTAATCTCCCTTAATAAAGTAATTTGAGTGAAATTTTCAGCCTATTCCATTTACATTATCTATTTTTGAATTATTATAGCGAGAACTGTCAGCTCTTTACCTAAATCTTACATTATGCATTTTTAAAGCGAGAGAACGCTGAGAACTGGCAGCTCTTTATCTAAATCTCACATAATGCATCTTTAAAAGATTCATGAATAATTGTTTGCATAGGTTAAAAGATTGCGAAATTTGCACTCAGTGTGAATAGGTGCAGACGTGAATAGGAGTAGGGATACGTGCATGAAGGATGTAAAGTTGTCTATCAAATAAACAGACCACATCACAACCTCACCATGTGCTCTTTCCTACATAAATAATAAAATAGGAAAATCTTGTACAGATGTTTACGATCAATTCAACCAGACGGCCATTAAGATACACAAAGTCGCCACATAATTTTGGTTATTTTTTTTTTTATTTTCAGGAATCAATTTTACTCAGTTCACCTGTTTTATTTTAATCTTTAAAAACAGTGGTGGAACGAATTAATTTGATTATTTTGTGAAGTGGGTGATTGGGAATGAATTAAATTATTTTTGAAGTGGGATGGGGTGGGGATGGAGTGAATGAATTAGATTCTTTTGTGAGGTAGGTTGGGGTGGGGTCGGGGTGGGGTGAATGAATTAGATTATTTTTTGAAGTGGGGGGAAGGGTGGATGAATTAGGTTACTCTGTGAAGTGGGGGGGGGGGGGTAATGAATTTGTTGATGGATTTATGTCTGTGTATACTCTTTAAAACTGATGATGAATGAATGAATAAGATAATTTAATGTGGAGGGATGAATGAATTAAATAATTCGATGAGTAGAGGGATGAATGAATTAGATAATTTGATGTGATGTGGAAGATAATTTGATGATGAATGGATTAAATATTTTGAGAATGGGAAAAATATAATTCTATAATTTTGTTATGGATTGAATCAGATGAATGATGTCCGACATTGAAGTGTATTAATATAAAATATATTAGTCACAAAATGATCAAACTATGGTGTTTAATAGAGAGAGAAAGAGAGAGGTGGTGTTTAACGTCCACTCGACACAAACTAGGCCATTTCGGGACTAACATATGGTATTTAATTTTATTTCAATAATTCGCTTGCGCGTAGGCGTCTTTAGCAGTGGGAGGAAACCGGAGGACCTGGAGAAAACCCACGAGGTTGGACAGCCGACCCTACTCCTTGTCACGTACAACCTGGGACTCGAAACCACGCCAGTTGACTCCATGACAGGCCTTATGATACAGCGCGCACATGCTAACCATTCGGCCATCCAACCCGCCTGGTGTTTAATAGACATTAACCCTCATTCCATTCCTAAAAGCTTGGTAGAATCTCTTATTGGTTTTCAGAATAGGCGAGCCACGGTGGCTGAGTTCATAAGATGCTGGCTAGCTAGCCTTGAAGTCGCGGGATTGTTCCTAGTGTTGGCCAAGAAAGTTCATCAGGGCCTGACGAGGTCATTTGTCAAGATGTTTGGATGGGACGCAAAACTAAGGTCATGTCTACACATTGTTATGTACGTAAAAGACCCCTTGGCAGTTTGAATTCAATATAAGAGTATGACCTTGGTTTTTCGTCCCATGCGAATGACTACACAGTTGTCCTTGTCAGGCCCTCCGTCCATCACCTCTGACAAGGGGAAACCACGCCAAAACAATTTTTTATAGCCCAGGTGCTAAAGATGGTGGACAAACCTACTAGGTGATCAACGGGTGAAATAAAGCAGTGGATTAGAATCTTTGTGATTGATTTATTGATTGATTTATTGATTTATTTATATTTTATAGATATGATGAGATTAAATGGAAGAAGTGATGAAGTTTTATATTCAAGTGAAAATGGTAATTAGATCATCAGATATCATTCTTTATCATTATATTTCTAAAAATCTGGGTGTGGGATGAGGGGTAACTTATTCATGAAAAACTTGAATCAACTGTACCATTGTCGAGTACATGTAACATATTGGCTAAATATTGATTGGTTACTATTACTTTCCATTAGTTAACATCAGTTGCCATTAGTGCACTGGTTTCCATTAGTTACCATTGTTTGCATTAGTTGCCATTAGTTAGAATGGATTCCATTAATTGCCATTAGTTAACACTGATTTCCATTAGTTAACATTGTCTGTTATTGAGTCAAGTGGCATGGCTTTGATTCCTTGCTTGTATGTGACAAGGCATACGGTCCCCTCTCTAACCTCATTAATTGTGTCCGGGTCCCCCAGTTTCCTCCCACTACTAAAGACCCCCCACGCATAAGCATATGTTAGTCCCAAAATGACCTAGTTTGTGTTGAGTGGACGTTAAACCCAATTTCTTATTCTAAAAGAGATAAACAATTTGATTAGTTGAGACGAAAAGGCTTGTTTATTTTGAACGTGAATATTTCAGAATATGATGAAGGGAAAACTTCCTCCTGTGTTCTTCCACCAGGTCTGTTTGAAGGAAATTTGATGCTGGATGCTCTGGGTGGGTTCCTGATATTTGTCAGTAAATCAGGGAACATATTGTTTGTATCAGAGCAAGTAGAGGAATATCTTGGTTATTCACAGGTAAGGTGTTACACCTATCTCTGTCCTTAACCCTTGAACCTTTACCCTTGACCCTTTACACTTGACCCTTTACCCATGTGATGCCAACATGTGCACTCGACCTGTTTTTTTATTTTTTTACCATCAAAGCAACTAAACAAGGTTAGATCTAATTGATAAGGCCAACTTCAAGTTTGGTCAAAGGTCACAAGATGTAAACAGGGTTAGCACGTGTACGCTGTATCATAAAGTCTGTCATTGAGTTAACTTGCGTGGTATTGAATCCCCGGTTATACTACATGACAAGGAGTAGGGTCGCCTGTCCAACCTCGTGGGTTTTCTCCGAGTCCTCCAGTTTCCTTCAACTGCTAAAGAACCCTACGCGCAAGCAAATTATGGAAATAAAATTGAACCATATGTTTTCAATCCAGAAATGTCCTAGTTTGTGTCAGTGGACGTTAAACCCCATTTCTCTCTCTCTCTCTCTAATCCTCTGTATCCGTTATACTCCACTATACCCTGGGTTAATCCATGGGGTATTCAAAATATCTGCCCTTGATCTTAGCTTCATTCTATGAACCAATCAAACAGTATACGTGATGGTGGCTTTATTCGCTCAATTGTGAGAAAGTTTTGAAAGAAATTTAATTATAAAAGAGACATGCATACAAAAATATGTCCTAAAAATATTTTGATGTCACTTTTTATGTATTTAACAATTTCTTTGATTGGTCGATAAAAATAGCACAATCATCAAGGGCAGATAATTTGATTACATGTCTCTCTCATGGTTGAACCGGAATGAGACCACTGCGGATATCAAGGATGCCACTATCTTTGATAGTGTCCAGTGGTAACATGTTTAAAGTTGGTATTATCTTTCTTCTTGTCTGTTTCTATTCTACGGCTCTGTTTATCGTCGTCTTCCAATTTACTGTTTAATTGAGCACTTGATCCAATCCAGATATTTCCACTAAAGAATGTTTGTGATACTTGCATCATTCATCGATCTAGAACAGAAAATGACCTCTCAATCTTTCAGCACTAGGAAATAGGAAGCCGATTTTTTATTAGTTGTTACCTTAGAACAAGATTCCAGATTGGTATGGTCGAAACAGGAGGATTTCATCTTGTTTTTATTTACATCAGTTACATTGAAAATTAAATACAATAAATGAAATATAAATAAAAAATATAATAAAATTAGTTGAAACTGCACATTTTCAGATGATACTGGAACATTATTTATGGATAACAATTACTATGGTTTATTACACTGTGATGTTTCAACAAGATTTCAAGCATATATCAACACAGATAAATAAAATAGAATTATAATGATTAAAGATACGTTCCCTTGTACAAACTGTGTGATTTGATGATATATTTGAACTAAAAACATATTCTAACTAATTTATCTGTTAAAAATTTGCTTCATATCCCTCTCAAAACGTATTTGTCAGGAGATACCACAAGCTATGAATAAACTGTTGTAAATTCTTAATTATTTTCTGTCAACTACTTTTTCAGCCGTTTAATTGCAGAGGCTTTTGTACGTTAACACCCCTCAATGTTCCCAAGCTAGCTCAGTCAAGCTAGCACACAATAAGCTGGTAGACAATAGTCAGGTTGCCAGTTAGTAATACCCATACATTTTTGTCCTGTATACGCTCCATGAGTGTTTTTTGGGTAATCCAGTATCTTTCTAGTAAGATTAGGGGGCTCTACTTTCCGTACATACCAAATTTGGCATAATTTTTATTGGAAAAAACCACCTGATAAATACTTTCGTGACAATGCATCTTTAAAACAGTGAGGAGAATTCTAAGTACGACAATTTATTCTAGACCAATGGCACCTGCACACTAAAGCATCTATAGCAATGACGCCATCCCACTCAAAGATATTCAACCATAAACAGTATTGAACCTTTTTTAGTTTTAGAAGAAATTTATCACCGAGATAGGATGAAACATTTGAAAATAATCCTTGAGTGACATTTAGAGATTGAACACAATAAAATAAAAATGTTTATATGGAATACGGGCACAGGTTGTGATTGATTGGGCTTGACAAACAGTGAAGATGTTTTAAAGTTAACGACGCAATTTTATGTTCGAATTGAAATAAAATGAAATGGGGTTTAACGTCCTACTGTTCTGCTCCTAAACTGGGCTAATGAAGACGGGCATACGCCATACAGTGTGCTATGAGAGAAATTTTGCCCGGGCAGCGGCACTACGGACTACTCTTATATCGAATTCTAACTGCCAATGGATCTTTTACGTGCACGCCAATGTATACAGGGGATCTCGGTTTTTCGTCCCATCCGAACGACTAGACAGCTGTCCTTGTCGGGCCCTCCATCCTGCATCACTGGCAAGGGGAAACCACGCCAGAGTTTTTTGTTCGAATCTGAAGGAAATTAAATAGGTTTTGTTTAATGTCCTACCTTTCTATTCCAACTGGGATAATGAAAACAAGGAGTAGGGTCGCCTGACCAACCTTGTGGGTTTCCTCTGGGTCCTCCGGTTTCCTCACACTGCTAAAGACCCCTACGCGCAAGCAAATTATTGAAATAAAATTCAACCAATGACATATAACCTGTGTAATCGAAACCACACCGGTTGACTCAATAACAGACCTTATGATACAGCGTGCACGTACTAACCATTAGACCATCCACCCCCCAAACTCCACCCTGAAGGAAATTTATAGCTAGATATATTATATAACCATATGTTTATTTGTTTCTAATTTCAGGTTGAAATGATCGGAAGACCGATAGAAACTTTCATACATCAGAATGATTTACATGAAATAAAAATAAACATGAAAATAAAGAAGGGTGGTAATCTACATACATTAGAGGGTTCGTATTCAATTCTTTTACTTCTGGGAGCCACAGTGGCTCAGCGGGTAGTATGTTGGCTTGCTAACATGGAGGTTTGGTGTTTGATCCCTGCATTGGTTTCCCCTTGTTAGTGGTGCAGGACAGAGGGCCAGGCAAGGGACAATGTATAGTCGTTCAGATGGGACGAAAAACTGAGATCCTGTGCACACTCACGTGCAATTAAAAGATACCTTCGCAGTTGGAATTCGGTATGAGAGTAGGCCATAGTGCCGCTGTCCGGGCAATATTTCCCTCATAGCACACTGTATGGAGTATGCCCGTCTTCATTAGCCCCATCGGACCAGAACTGTAGGACGTTAAACCCCATTTCATTTCATTTCTTTTATCTCTAACCCAGTGAGGAGAGAGAGAGAGAGAGAAATGGTTTTTAACGTCCACTCGATACAAACTAGGTCATTTCGGGACTAACATATGGTTTAATTTTATTTCAATAATTCGCTTGCGCGTAGAGGTCTTTAGCAGTGGTTTGAAACCGGAGGACCCGGAGAAAACTCAAGAGATTGGACAAGCGACCCTACTCCTTGTGACGTACAACCGGGGATTTGAAACCATGCCAGTTGGCTCAATGACAGGCCGAGTGATACAGCACGCACATGCTAACCACTCGGCCATCCAACCCCCCCCAGTGAGGAGGTGGGTGGCTAAATGGTTTAACTGGTGCACGCTAGATCATAAGGTCTGTCATTGACATAAGTGTCATGGTTTTGATTCCCTGCTTGAAAGTGACAAAGAGTATGGTCGCCTGTCCAACCTTGTGGATTTCCCTCTCAGAACCAAAGACCCCTACCCAAGGTTGGGTTGGATGGCCGAATGGTTAGCATGCGTGCGCTGTATTATACGGTCTGTAATTGAGTCACCTGGCAGGGTTTCGATTCCCCGGTTGTACGTGACAAGGAGAAGGGTCGCCTGTCCAACCTCTCGGGTTTTCTCCAGGTCCTCCGGTTTCCTCCCACTGCTAGAGACCCCTACGCAAGCGAATTATTGAAATAAAATTGAACCATATGTTAGTCCCGAAATGACCTAGTTTGTGTTGAGTGGATGTTAAACCCCCATTTCTCTCTCTCTCTCCCCTACTCATGCGAATTATTGAAATGAAATTGAACCATGTGTTAGTCCCAAAATGAACTAGTTTATATTGAGTGGACATTAAACCCCATTTTTCTACCAATATTGGAGATATATATTTCTATATATCTATAGAATGACACAAGAATTTTATACATATTTAAATTAATGGGGTTTAATATCACATCAACAAAATATATATATATCAGATAGTTAGACCATTGTTATTATATATCATGGACAATGATCAATCTGTTCAACTAATTACAAACCTATTGTCATCAGATTGATGATATTAACCAGGTGTAAATATTGATTAATCTATTAATCATTATTGATTGGTTTATTGATTAATGTAAGGTAATATTTACCTGTAGAATATAGACTATGTTTATTGCTGTTTAGATGAATAGGGATGGATATTTACTAATTATAGTCGTATAGTTTTTCATTCACTATCTTGATATTTGATAGTTTAAAGATGCCTTATGCAAGATTTAGAGATGGCTGTTCTTGCTATAATAGTTCAAAAATATATCATGAAAATATTGAAAATTTCAAATTACTTTATTTTGAGGCAGGAGTTGGATGGCCGAATAGTTTCCTCCCACTGCGAAAGACTCCTACATGCAAACAGATTATTGAAATAAAATGGAACCATATGTTAGTCCCAAAATGACCTAGTTGTGTTCGATGGCTGAATAGATAGCGCATGCACATTGTATCATAAGGTCTATCATAGAGTCAACTGCCGTAGTTTTGATTCCCCGGTTGTACATGACAAGGGGTAAGGTCACCTGTCCAACCAAGTGGGTTTTCTCTCTGTCCTCCGGTTTCCTCCCACTGCTAAAGACCCCTACACGCAAGCGAGTTATTGAAATAAAATGGAACCATATGTTAGTCCCAAAATGACCTAGTTTGTGTCGAGTGGAAGTTAACCTCTCTGTCTCTCTCACTTTATTCAGAGCAAAGTTATGAATGTTTTAGGTTTTTACAAGAAATGGCCAGAGAGTTGATTAATGGCTTGTCATGTGGATAAATGTCTAAATAATGATTTATATAACATTTGAAGCCAGAAAAACATCTGCAAAAAGGCAGGTTTAGCTTTCACATGCCGATTCTTTCATCCATTCTTGCCAAAAGATATGATATATATTCATGATACATGTTTTGTTGGTTTTTTTAAGATAATATTTATTATAATTACATGCGGATTCTTTCATTCATTCTTGCCAAAAGATATATATTCATAATACATGGTTTTTTTTTAAGATAATATTTATTATAATTACAGGAGGACATATTAACAAGGATGAGATATTAAACTCCTCACACTGTCGTTCATTGTATATCCGTATGAAAACACATTTAAACGTAGCCAGATCTCCAGTTAAAAAATCAGGAACTATGGTAAGATATAAACAAAGGAAAAAAGAAGGGGCGGGGGGTGACCATGCCAAGTTCAGATAAATCAGTCTGAAGAATTCAATTAGAACGAAACTAGTCACTGCTAAAAGAGATAACTGGTCAATTCGCCCATCCTTATCTACCTATAATGGTAAGATATATTTATTGGTCATGTTGAATGGTAATAGTAAGTGCAGGAGGACTGCACTACACACAAAACCAACCTGTGGACATGACAAACTACGTATAGACATTGCAAGAAATAAATAACAAATGTATCGAGGGATGTAACTACATGGTGAGCTGTATGATGGTTCGTTACTTGAACTAGTTTACGGCTGCGTCTAGATGACGAGCCATCTGAAGGAGGGGGGGGGGGACCGAATGTTGTATGGACGTTTAGATTAAGTTCTTTTCTGTGGTGTCTCCACTTTATATATATACTTGGTCAAGATTGTTCTGTCCTGTGATGTCCTGTGTGTAAATGTACCATTGGCATGCACGTAAACTATCTCTTGGCAGTTGGAATTTGATATAAGAGTAGGCCATAGTGCCGCTGCCCGGGCAAAACTTCCTTTATAGCACACTGTATGGCATATGCCTGTCTTCATTAGCCCAGTCGGAGCAGAACAGTAGGACGTTAAACCTTTTTTCATTCATTCATTCTATTACACTGTAAACATGTTTTAAAATTCTAGCTGACACAGTGGATAGGCCAGATTAAAGTTCGTCCATCAAAGAAACCAAAAGGTTACAGTGTAGATGGGATCGTGTGTATTTGTCATCCAGTTCAATCGGACGCTATTTTAGAAATACGACTGGAAGGAAATATGTTTATGAGTCGACATGATTTAGGAATGAAATTTTTATTCTGTGAACAAAGGTCAGTTGAGAATCATTAATCTTTAGGTTTGTGTGAAAAGTTAATTTAGAAATTCCGACCTTAACGAAATGCTAGCAGTCTACATTTAAATGATATCCAGGTTATAGCTCATAATATAGTTATTGGAACTCTTGGAGCTGGCTCAGCTGTGGTGTGCAATTGTTGGAACTGTTCATGCTGGCCCTAGTGGTGTGCACTTGGACAATTAGCAGCTGTTAATATACTTATCAAATTTCTTCATTTTGGGTTGGGCCTGCCACTTCTCATTTTCATATGGCTTGTCATTTTGGGTTGGGTTTGTCGCTTTTACTTGTTGTATATGTCAGATATAGAGACTATATGACAGAGACTATAGAGACTATTATGATGTAAATCTTCTATATAAGTTATGCACTGTTAGAGATAGATCATTATTGATATCTATAGCACTGTATATAGAGGAGGCGTTGTGTTCTAGACAGGTATAGTTGTTATTCGTTATTAACTCCAATGGCACCCCATCTTGTTATTACCTATTGATATATACATGTATATACTCAATAACAGAATAATAATATTTATTATAGACATATATATATATATATGTATGTTATATTCTATGTACTATGGGTCTATGACCTTGTATTACTGAATAAAGTATTATTATTATTATTATTATTATTATGTCAGATATAGATGAAGGGAAATAACTCCAATTATTGGAATATAATTTGATACATATATACCACCATTAATCTCCCCATTGACTTCAATGTTAATTCTGGTCTCTTTGCCCAACTCCAAATTTTCGTTGGGCTGAATGCTTTTCACTACAGACAGAGAAGCAAATGGTCATGTCTTTACACCAAAATTTGTATGAGGTTGACCACCAAAATTTTGAGATACACAACCTTGAAGTAGCACACTAAAAAAATGTAACTATTCGCCGTACAAATCACCGTAACCAACCTGTTAACTCTGTTATCTTTTCGCCTCTAATATTTTCCAAAATCTGGCAGAAAATGTTAATTCAAACCCTCTTCATCCATTCTAGACCAAAAAATCATCAAAAATAGGCATGCATAAGGGGAGAAAAGAGACAGAGAGGGAATTGCTATAGACGAACTACAATTTGTTGGTACCGAGAGGGTGAAATTTAATGGTGGTCTGCATCCAATTAATTGGAACTTTTTCTGTGTCCATTAATCATACAAGTGTTTGTTGATGTCATAATTTAATAAATGATTTAAATATTTTTTCAGAATAATCCGCTTAATTGGCTATAGACCAGATGATTTAATTGGTAGAACAGCGTATCAATTTCATAATCCACTCGATACACCCAATATCAGCAACTGTCACTCTAACTGTAAGTTAATTTCTTTTCTTCCAAGATACAATTCTATAGAATACAATTACAGGGCACAATTTTATAGAATACAAACAGGGCACAATTCTATGGAATACAATAGCAGGACACAATTCTATAGAATACAATTTCAGGACCTAATTGTATAGATTACAAATACAGGACACAATTCTATAGAATACAATTGCAGGACCCAATTCTATAGAATACAATTACTGGACACAATTCTATAGGCTAAAATTTCAGGACACAATTCTATAGAATACAAATACAGGACACACATCTATAGATTACAAATATTGGACACAATTCTATAGATAACAAATACATAACACTAATCTATAGAAAACAATTACAGAACACAATTCTATAGATTACAAATACAGGACACACATCTATAGAATACAATTACTGGACACAATTCTATAGATTACAATTACTGGACACAATTCTATAGATTACAAATACAGGACACACATCTATAGATTACAAATACAGGACACACATCTATAGAAAGCACAATTCAATAGAATACAATTACTACTGATCAACTCTCGAGTCTTTATCAAGAGTAGCATATACGGATGACAATTCTATGAGGGATCACGTGGCTAAGTGGGTAAGACGCTGGCTCGCTAGTCTGGAGGTCGGGTGTTCGAACCCTGCATTGGCCGAGAAAGTTCATCCAGATTTTCCGGCGTGGTTCCCCCTTGTCAGTGATGCAGGACGGAGAGCCTGACAAGGACAGGTGTCTAGTCGTTCGGATGGAATGAAAAACCGAGGTCCTGTGAACACATTGGCGTGCATGTAAAAGATCCCTTGACAGTTGGAATTCGATATAAGAGAAGTCTGTAGTGCCGCTGTCCGGGCAAAATATCCCTCATAGCACACTGTATTCCCGTCTTCATTAGGCTAGTTCGGAGCAGAACAGTAGGACGTTAAACCATATTTCATTTCATTTCATTTCACAATTCTATGAAATACAGTTACTGTTTATTACCGAGTGAGAGAGAGAGAGAGAGAGAGAGAGAGAAATGGGGTTTAACGTCCACTCAACACACACTAGGTCATTTCGGGACTAACACATGGTTTTAATTTTATTTCAATAATTCGCTTTAGCAGTGGGAGGAAACCGGAAGACCCGGAGAAAACCCACGAGGTTGGACAGGCGACCCTACTCCTTGTCACGTACAACCAGGGAATCGAAACCCCGCCAGTTGACTCAGTGACAGACCCTATGATACAGCGTGCGCGTGCTAACCATTCGGCCATCCAACCCCCCATTACCGAGTGATGTTTAAACTAGGATTCACTAGTTGCTTGATAAAGACTAGAGAAGAGTAAACGAAACATTGCTCAGTAATAAACCCTAATCGTATTTCACAGCAGTGTGTTCTGTATATGTACAGTTCTATAGTTTTTATAGAAACAACATCTCTACTACTGGATTCTGATTGGTCATAATGGTTGCTATGGTTTCCAGATTATTCGCAGTAGAAACTGGGACAATTGTTATTATGAAACGGCAGTTCTTGTGATATAAAGCACTTGCAGAAGACCATTTGGCCACTACCCCACCACCTACAACTAATTAACACGGTCAATTTTTCTTCCATTCTATGCAGACAGTCAAATTTCTATTGTCCTGTTTATTCCATGTGATTGTAGTCCAAACTGATTGTCATTTCCTTCTTTCAGTAATCGTGAAGGGTGCTTCAACGAGTAAATTCTACAGGTTTATGGGTAAAAATGGTGATTGGATATGGCTGCAGACGCGAGCGACGATTATAAAAAGTACGACAAATGAAGCCCAGTATATTGTGTGTATGAATTATGTAATCAGGTAGGTGTAAGAATATCAAACTCATTTAAAACACAGATCCTATTTCGTTCTTTTCAAATCCCCGGTTATACGTGACAAGGAGTAGGGCTGCCTGTCCAACCTTGTGGGTTTTCTCCAGGTCCTCCGGTTTCCTCCCATTGCTAAAGACCCCTACGCACAAGCGAATTATTGAAATAAAATTAAGCCATGTGTTAGTCCCGAAATGACCTGGTCTGTGTCGAGTGGACGTTAAACCACATTTCTCTCTCTCTCGTTTCATTTTTTATAGTTTAAAATTTCGTTTTACTTGTCTTTACTACACTAGGGTCTGGAAGAGTTGTTATATAACCCAAGTTCTCTGGATGATGTGAGGGATTAGCCAATGAAACGGTCTGTTACGGAACTGTGGGTAACCCACTAGAAACATCAACACTGATTGGTTAATCAAATGTCTGACGCCATAGGGTCAAAAGTCACTCATACGACCTTTGATGGGACCTCCCACTACAATTGATCAGATCTTCATGTAGTGTAGGCCATAGAAAGTATAAAATAAAACGAAACGAAATATAGATCTGTATTTTAATCAGATTGTAAGAATATGTGGATTCATTAGAATAAAAACAGGTTTTTTGATTGGTTGATTCAAATATTATTGAAATATGACATAAATATTTACAAATATGTAGCTGGTTAAGAACGTATAGAATCGGTGGGTGGGGGCCTTGAAATCATTCATAAGGTCTGTCATAGATCCAAGTGGCGTGGTCAGGGCTCACGCTGTCGGTCGCCAAAGTCGTAATTTACGATAAAAATATGAAAGTGGCTATTAAAATTTGATTTTGGTGATAATTTTGGCGATTCTTTTTGAGAATTTGCGGAAAAAAATCTTAAAATTCTAATCGTATTTATCCTAGCTGGATTAACCATTAATTAATCGAGTATCAATCACGTGGCTGAATACTATAAATTAATCAACTGGCTGATAATCCGGATTGCGCGTCAATGACTAATACTTATCAGTTGTCTTGGATTAATGATTAGTTAATTGATAATTGCCATGATGTAAATAAAGCCTATCGCAAGTCATTATTTACTCCTACTGATTAAACCAAGCGGTGATTATTTGATGTTTCGTTTCGTCTTAAAAAAAATGGTAATGATCAAAATAGCCAACAGATCCTTTCGAAGAGAATTAAATATTTTGATAGTTGAACTGTGGCTTCATATAGGGCATATACAAGCATGCCGATCGAATATCATTTTTTCCAATTATATCATCACCTGGTCGAAAATGTAAGAAAGAGTTGAATAGCGACGATTCTTGAGCGAGAAACCATTTCGCCATATGTATCATATTACCATCGCAAAAATGCTCTAAAGGTGAACATCTCTATCAGGGATTCAGATTCTGATACCTTTACGGTACCTGGAAATAACTATAGGCCTATTGTACACGCAACACATAAATTTACTGAAAATATATTGTGCAGTACGGTGTTCAAATAGACTAAATTCACCGCCCCCCCCCCCCCAAAAAAGATCTTCTTAAATCCAAAGTTGTTGTATATTGTATTTTATATCGGTAATTGTTTTAGAATGTTAATAAGCCTAGCTGAGACATAAATTCGTTGGATGTTGTCTTTTTTTATCACACATTTTTGGCAGATAAAATTTCCAGTTGGCGGAAAAAAAATTATAACATTTTTTTATATAAAAATTATCATCCATTTTGGCAGAAAAAAATTGAAAGCCAGTGTGAGCCCTGGGCGTGGTTTCTATCCCAAGGATAAGGAACAGAGTTATCTGCCCAATCTCTTATGATGCTACATGCAAGGAAATTATTGTTGAAATAAAATTGTACTAAGTGAAGGCGCTGGCTCGCTAGCCTGGGGGTCGGGTGGTCGATCCCTGCATTGGCCGAGAAAGTTCATCAGGATTTTTCACGGCGTGGTTTCCCCTTGTTAGTAGTGCAGAACGGGGGTACCAAGGACAGTTGTCTATAGTCATTCAGATGGGACGAAAAAACGAGGACTCGTGTATATATTGGCGTACACGTAAAAGATCCCTTGGCAGTTGGAATTCGATATAAGAGTAGGCCATAGTGCCGCTGCCTGGGCAAAATTTGCTTCATACCACACTGTATGCCCATCTTCATTAGCCTAGTCGGAGCAGAATAATAGGATGGTAAACCCCATTTCATTTCATTTCATTTATATTGAATGGTTTTTGTTTTTTTTTTCAGTCAAGAAGAAGGTGAAAAGTGGCTGAAAATGGAACAAGAGCAGTTTGGATTCACTGATCCAAATGTCCGTGGATGCCTTATCTTTGATAGTAATGATCAGGTTCAAGGGTCTTGTAGTGAAACTATTGAACTTTCTGACCCTGTCGTTATGGATACGGATGTAGAGAAAGATGAGATAAATATGGAACCAGACACAAATTTCTTAAACATTAATTTTGATATCAACAGTACAGAAGAATTATTACTCGACAACGCTGGTATCGCCACGTCGCCTGTCACCATGTCACAAAGTGCAGATCCGTTTCTGTGTTCGACGAGTACGTCCTCCAATAATCCAGTGCCGATTCAATCTCCGTTACACGTCGGCGCAGCTGATAATGTTGTTCATTTTAATCAACCACCCGATGAAATGGATATTCTAGATGACATTCTGGAAAATATCCAACACTTCCCATCAGAAACTCAATCCAAAACGATCTCCACGTCTTTACAGACGCTACAAAATCTACCGTTACCATGTCAACTAGGCTTCGAGGACCACGAAGAAGCAGAAGTGTCTGTGCCACAATGTGATTCCCAAAACAACACTAACTCTTGCTCACTTTTAAGTTTGAATGCTTCCCAGGAGCGTCTCTCTTCTCAAATGGACGATAAAGCAAAGGATCTTGGTTCAACAGACAACTCCTATGTTCCTTCGCTATGCCCCGGAAATAATAATAATAATAATGCCAATCCATTAATTCGTCACTCCTGTCAACTTGATCTGACATCCCCCTACTCTTGCCTATCCAGTTCCTCTGGATCATTATTACGATCGTTACTTTATCGCGATAGATCTCCGCCTCGTATCCCCAAACAACCAGTTTCTTCCCGTTCCCCAGAATCCATTCCTAAATCACCTTCTGCTCAAAACCTCTCATCCAGCTTTTATACGACCTCGAGCTCGTCAGACAAATCGCCATCTTCTTGTAAAAGTTTGCTGAGTGCCGTTCTGTCCGGAAATGCCACGCTAAATATTCCAACATGTCAGAAAAACTTACCGCAAAATAATTCAAGCCATGTTCAGAAGATCGCTCCGACAAATGTTGAAAACCGGACTTTCATCAGAAAGTATTCATCGTTGACGAACGTTCCTCAGTCAACCAATGAAATGATTATGAATTCATCGTGTATACGTGGTCATACCTGTCATTCTGGAAACTCGCATAAAACTGGAGTTAGTCATTCCACTGGCGTCAATTTTAATTCAGCTGTTAAAAATCCACCAAATATCAGCTGGCAAGGATTAAAAAGCAGTCACCTTAATGCGAAACCCCTAGAATCTTCTAATTATGTGGGTGAACGCTATGATATCCCAACATGCTCAGGAAAACGCCGACGATGTTCTCAGGATAGCGTTGCGGCTAGTGATCTATTTGGTGCGTTGAGTGATCTACCTGACGATTTACTGGATGTTGCTATGCAGTATTATGATAACCTTGGAGACGATCAAACGCAGGCACTGCTGGAAGAATTTGGACAGGATATCTGGGCGAATACGGACGACTTATGTACCGTTACGACAGAAACTCAGGTTTCTCCAACTTCAACAAACAAAAAACAAACAAATTTTGGATCCAGTAATACAAGACAGATCTTGTCGCAATCGGCCAATCAACCTTCTTCGATCAAGGTTCTTAATGATTTAAATTCTAGTGATTCCACAACCTTAAGGCAAGAAAATGGATTTAATTTTTTCTCTCCAAATCGTGATTTATCAGTGTCTAGAAAATGTCTTAAACCAGGATGTGATAAAACTGTTGATAATAGTAATAATAATAACACCAATTATCAACGATTCGGTGGATGTTGTAATCGTGATGCGTATCGTAATAAAATTGTTCAAGATGGACTCCAATCTCCGACTGTTTCTAGTACGCAAGCCAATAAAAACATTTCAAATGATTTAGAAACTTTGAGTGGGTCGTCGTCGTCGGAGTGTAATACAGTTGTGAACGACGGGACCGAAGATAGTGTGTACAGTCAAAGTAGTTCGAGTCCGAAGTCATGTCAATCTATCGGTGTTCAAACGGCTTACACGAACACAGACACTGTCGACAATAAACTACGCCCAAAAAACGCGTCTGATACAGCAAACAAGTCCAAAACTACATCCAAGATGTCCGAGTTGGAAAAACATTTACGAGGCTATAAGTCTTTCAGTATGAGTAATATAATAAATACGAATCAAAGCACAACTTCCTGTTCCGAATGTGAAAATATTGCGCGTTATTCAAAGATAACACCGTTCTTACATAAACTGTTAACGGGAGAAATTACTCAAGATATTTATTATCAAGTTGATAAATATATACTAGAATCCGAGAAACAGCCAAAATTATGATAAAATGTATTTTAGGCCATACAAAAAACATTATCCTGCTTCCCAGACAATCTCTACCAGAGAGAGAGAGAGAGAGCGAGAGAGAGAGAGAGAGTGAGAGAGAGAGAGGGGGAGAGAGAGAGAGAGCGAGAGAGAGAGAGAGAGAGAGAGAGGCGAGAGAGAGAGAGCGAGAGAGAGAGAGAGAGTGAGAGTGAGGTTTGACACGTCCACTGGACACAAACTAGGTTATTTGGGGAATAACATATGGTTCAATTTTTATTTCAATAATTCGTTTGCGCGTTGGGGTCTTTAGCAGTGGGAGGAACCGGCCATCCAACCACGCCATATTGCCGCTGCCTGGGCAAAATTTCCCTGATAGCACACTGCATGGCCCATTCCCAATTGGAGCAGAACAGTAGGAAGTTAAACCACATTTCATTTTTTGAAATAAAAACAGGTTATGCGTCCCTTTTGGAGTGAAGTGGGATTACCGGAGAACCATAATATTTTTTGTACATGGCCTTAGAATCAAACATTGTTAATATTAAACAGTTTTAATGTGTGAATATATTACATTGTAGTTACTAATACATCATTGTATGCAATAGAGAGAGAAAGAGAGAGAGAGAAATGGGGTTTAACGTCCACTCGACACAAACTAGGTCATTTCGGGACTAATACATGGTCCAGTTTTATTTCAATAATTCGCTTGCGCGTAGGGGTCTTTAGCAGAGGGAGGAAACCGGAGGTTGGACAGGCGACCCTACTCCTTGTCACGTACAACCGGTGAATCGAAACAACGCCAGTTGACTCAATGACAGACCTTATGATACAGTGCGCACGTGCTAACCATTCGGTCAACCAACCCCCCAGTATGCAATAGCAGTGTATGTCAAAGCAGTGTATGCCATAGCATAGTGTGCCATTTTTCTTTCAAAGAATTAAAGTTTCTGAACATCATTTGAGCAATTTTGAATTCCTTGCAGACTACAATATTGTGATAAGTTCAATTTTAAAAGGAATGTCAGACTTGTGATAAGTTTATTTGTAAAAGGAATGTCAGACTTGTGATAAGTTCAAGTTCATTTCTAAAAGGAATGTCAGATTTGTGATAAGTTCATTTCTAAAAGGAATGTCAGATTTGTGATAAGTTCATTTGTAAAAGGAATGTCGGACTTGTGATAAGTTCATTTCTAAAAGGAATATCGGACTTGTGATAAGTTCATTTCTAAATGGAATGTCAGATTTGTGATAAGTTCATTTGTAAAATGAATGTCAGATTTGTGATAAGTTCATTTCTAAAAGGAATGTCAGACTTGTAAAAGGAATGTCAGACTTGTGATAAGTTCATTTGTAAAAGGAATGTCAGATTTGTGATAAATGCATTTATCAAAGGAATATCAGACCAAAAAGTTTCAATTCTGTAAATATGTTATGAATATGATGATGTAATTACTAATGCAGTATAGTATGCCATTTCTCTTTTAAAGACTTTGAACATCATCTGAGGGATTTTAAAAGCTTGTATACTACGATATGGTCAAAGATGAATTTCTAAAAGGTATATCAAGTTTCAAATGTGTTCTGTATTTTCAAAGATTTAATGAATTCAGAATTTGTCGAACATTTAACATTTACTGTAAGCAATATATAAGATTTAGACAAAGGCCACCGATATTTTTAGCATAAGTCTTTTGATGGGCCTCGTTGTAATCTAATTGAATAGAGCTCTGTGGATTATCTCCCATGGATATTTTGATTGTGTTTTCTTTTAGATAATCGGTTTGAATATATTTTAGCATCGACTAAATCGGGGAAAATTTGATATGGAATTTCCTAAAGTTTACATTAAAAATTATTTAAAAAGCAAATATACAGTCTAGTGAATGTAGATCTCTTATTGTTCACTGTACCACGGTAACTTTAGAATAGTACGCAAATACAAGTCACGAACCGATCATGACATCACTGCATTCAAGGCAGATCTAGTTGGGGCCACACCTGGCACATGCTTGTGACTATGGCACCTGCTGACCACCACCCCCCCACCCCCCACACCCCCTAACCATAGTCTCTGGATCTGCCCTTGTCATTATTCATCTTGTAATTGTGATGTATCAAAAATCGAAGACAGTCAATCCATGGGCAATTGTCCAAAGAACAAGCGTGTCAAGCTGGTTAAGCGTTGAAGAATGTATGCACCAATTTTAGGTTTAAAGCCAGTCGTTGAAAGAAATGGCCATACTTGTATTTGTGCTGTAGGGTATGAGAATTGAATGTTATAGCCAGTAGCTGAAAGAAACGGACATATTTGTGCTGTAGGGTATGAGAATTGAATGTTAAAGCCTGTATATGAAATAAACGGTCATATTTGTGCTGTAGGGTATGATATTTGAATGTTAAAGCCCGTATATGAAATAAACGGTTATATATTGTGCTGTAGGTGTGATATTTGAATGTTTTAACTGTGAAATATGTAAAAAAAACAATCTGTTATTAAAGATATAAATTAAGAATTAAGAGAACTCTGAATGATTTTTATTCCCCACGAACATTTGCTCATACAACTGTTTAGATATATATATATATGCGTGTGTAATCATCTCAAAATGTGTGTTCAGAAAACATTTTGACATTATTCTTGATTGACTTTTAAATGGTTTACATCTTTGTTATTTAAAGGGGTGCTACCAGATGGTTTGCTCGGCTGAAACAGCCTTTTAATATTATTTCTTTTTTAATTAAATATCTAACTAAGAATAATACAATCTGATTAAAACACAGATCCTATTTCATTTCTTTTTTTATAGTTTAAAATTTCGTTTTACTTGTCTTGATTACACTAGGATCTGGAAGAATGTGAGGGATTAGCCAATGAAACGGTTCGTTGCACGGAACTGTGGGTAATCCACTAGAAACATCAATGCTGATTGATTAATCAAATGTCTGACGATATAGGGTCAAAAAACGCTCGTATGACCTCAGGTGCAACCTTCCAGATCTTCATGTAGTGTAGGCCATTGAAGTAGGCTACATGTATAAAAAAACGAAACAAAATATAGATCTGTATTTTAATTAGATTGAGAATAAAAAGATCCAAAACTGGAACTTGCCCGGAGTTGAAAGAAAGGGAGATAACAAAACATTTGGTGGTATCATTACCCATACAATTTAGAAATTGTTTGGAACCTTGATATTTGTTGATGGAAGCAAAAACAGTCCTTTATTAAATCCATCAGGATCTGCAAAATATTCTTGCCATTTTTAAGCTTTAAATTTTACAAATTACATATTTTGTCATATGAAAAATTTAAGAAATCCTTTAACTATTTTGATCTAGATTTATCCACATCCAGGTGATCATAGAATTGAATCCACTGTGTTAAATTATTTGTGTTAAAATTTGTGATATTATATTTAAGATTACAAGTGTAACGGCTAAATCTAAAAGTTAAGGCCAGCTCAATTTTTGTCAAGGTCGCTGAGATGTAAATTAGGTTAGGGCACGTGATTGTTGGCGAGACTGTAGGTTAGGTTTAGGATAAGCATTGGGTATAGGTCCAGGGTTAGTGTTTGGGAGTAGCGCTAGCCCTGTTTACATCTCCTGACCTATGACAAAAAGGGGATCACGTGGCTAAGTGGGTAAGACGCTAGCTCGCTAGCCAGGAGGTCGGGTGTTCGATCCCTGCATTGGCCGAGAAAGTTCTTCCAGATTTTCCGGCGTGGTTCTCCCTTGTCAGTGATGCAGGACGAAGGGGCTGACAAGGAAAGCTGTCTAGTCATTCGGGTGGGACGAAAAACCGAGGTCCCGTGTACACATCGGCGTGCACGTAAAAGATCCCTTGGCAGTTGGAATTCGATATAAGAGTAGGCCGTAGTGCCGCTGTCCGGGCAAAATTTCCCTCATAGCACACTGTATGGCGTATGCCCGTCTTCATTAGCCCAGGTTAGGAGCAGAACAGTAGGACGTTAAACTCCATTTCATTTCTTTTCATTTCATTTCTATGACAAAAAATTGAGCTGGCCTTATCATTTAGCACTAACCCCCTGTAACATTTGTTATATTTTTCTTATGTGATTCCATGATGAAGAAAATTGTGAACTTTAGAAAACAGAAATATTTCTATGTATGTGTACATTGTGATAAACCAAATACTTATTATTGTATATACAGCTATGCATATTTATATTTTGTGATGACCAGCAAAGTTACCGATTATTTGTCAACAGTATTAAACATAAATTATGCAAGAGCTAAATCTGCCTATTGTAGGTCTTTCTTTAGGCCTGAAATGTTATGTTTAATTAGACATGTATTAACATAAGACCGTAATCAACTCTCAAATGCCATCTTATGTGTCAGATTTTCACTGTATTTGAATCCGATCCACGTCTCAATGCTTATTGATGATAAAATCAAAAAAATGGATAATTCAGACTTTGTTTTTTATTGTACCGACCTTAGTAATGATGGTTCAGAGTTGATCAATTTGACTGAAATTTCCAGCATATTCCCTTTACATTATCTAGATTTTAACTATTGTAGTGAGAACTGCCAGCTCTTTATCTAATCTTCCATAATGCCCCTTTTAATTGAAATTTCCAAGTTCCATGTCAGCAGCAGTGTAGTATCAGTTAGGCGTAAACATAAGGGATGGGATGTTGAACCCATTATTTCTTTTTATTTTATTTAACAAAAGATGGTGAAGCACACCAAGAAAACATATAAAAAATTTGAGAACTTTATTCTGAACGGAGTTGTCACTGTTGGAAGTTTGGACTAGAAATAGGCATCAACTGTTTCCGCACCATCTCCGAGAATTGCCGATTGTTTGATTGACAGACGGCAACTCCGCCCACATATTCTCGATTATCAAGTAACATTGTCAATGCGTACGGTACCCCCGATTGTCAGTTCTTCCATCTGCAGTCTCCGGGAGTGACGTGGGTGATTAACGGTAAATGTTATCTTGGTCAGCCATTTAATCATTTACAGAGTTGATTTTGGGCTTGTCATGTAAATAAAGGTCTAATTTATAATTTCTATAACATTTGAAGCCTATAGAAAGACTTGCAATAGGCAGATTTAGCTCTTAACTAACTAATGTATCTTTTAAGTATTGGAACAGGATGTATAAGCTTGCAGGTCAAGTCCCCCACCTACTACTTACCACCACCTCCTACCTACCACAAGACCCAGTTAACATTGAGGGTTAGATTTACGTAAAGTTTACGTCATTATGGTCAGATTTTGCTTAGCGTCCAATAACCATCACAGGATTACGAAAGTCTTCTAATAGCTCTGCTTTCAACATATAACGTCACATCATGCGACGTCAATCATTGGCTTAATGACCCGTGTATTTTTTTTTCATAAGACGTTACTGGTCCGGACGGAATGCTGCTCTTTACTCATTTTACTCATTTTACATACCAATTTACACTATGTTTACCTACCTATACTTCAAACACCATTATTTATTTGTCTAATGGTATAATTTAATTTGCAGAGGGAAAAAGTTAATATCGCGAGCTCATTAAGCCGCAGACTTCAAACATCATTATTTATTTGTCTAATGGTATAATTTAATTTGCAGAGGGAAAAAAGTTAATATCGCGAGCTCATTAAGCCGCATCGATGTCATCCCTATTAGTGACTGTAGCGGCGTAGCGGATATTCACTACTGACCAGTGTGTATCAGGTAGTCGAATTGTACTGTTGCAGAACAATTTTATTATTATTTTTATTGTAGAAAATGATCGGTAATTTATGTCGGTCTAAAACTCGTTGTTATGTAGTTTATGAATTTTTATAGTCGATAAAAGGAGTTACCAAAGTAATAAAAAGACATTATATATAGGCCTACCGTATTTGACAAATTAACACAGGAACGGATCCGGGGATTTTAAAGGCGGGGCGTTGTCAGGTTCCTGTTAAGGAAGTTTGAGAATTGACAATGCATGATACCATCATACATACAAATTAAGCTTTTTTAAGGAGAGAAATCCAACACCCCGTTTGACGTTGATTTTTATTATGAATTAATAGGATCATATTGTGATTCAATTTCCATGATGCGTTTATTGTGGTATCACATTATATTATTTTCTCACCCCCCCCCCCCAGAAAAACAGTTTGCTGGTCACGCTATAATAGTTCAAAAATAGATAATATAAAATGAATATATTGACATTACTTTATTCAGAGCGAAGATCGTTGATTATCGTTGCAACAGTACTTGATAACCGAGACTTCATCTCCATTGTCTTGTTTATAGTTAAACTTTTAAACCTCGCAGATGTTTAAATCCATTTAAATCTCAGCCACCCGATGGTCTGGAGAGTTGATTATAGGCTTGTTATGTTAATAAATAGTTTATATAACATTTGAATTCTTACATACTGCATCATTAATAAAACAATTACCCACTGCCTTGGCAGAATCCAATTAATTAACAAGCTTCGGGAACTAGGCCACTTGTCATCAAGAATGTAACCTCTTCATTGATTGAGCTAAGCAAAATACATAAAAGCACTGATTTAGCTATCAGCCAATCAACAGTCTGTGTTCGGTAAAATATTTGGTTTAAGCGCCTGTGAACAAATCTCCCGGCTTCTATAATTTGATTAGAAACAAAGTACAGCTATTATTAAAACTATGTTCTAGCTTTTGTCTTCAGAATTTTTTTTTAGTTTTTCAACTATAGTTTTGTCTTCAGAACAAATTATGTCTTTGAATATCTTTAATTTTTTGATCTTCGAAATGTGCTTTTGTCTTCAGAACAAAATACATCATTGAATAAAAATACTTTTGATTTTTGAAATCTGTTTTTGTTTTCTTCAGAACAAAATATACCTTTGAATAATGGTAAAATACTTTTGATTTTTGGAATGTTCTTTTGTCTTCAGAATAAAATATATTCTTTAATAACATTTTTTTTTTTTTTGATTTTTGAAATGTGTTCTTGTCTTCAGAACAACTTTCAATAATGAAAGAAATATTTTCCATTTTTGAAATGTTCTTTTGTCTTCATAATAAGATATATACTTTAATGAAAATATATTTTTGATTTTTGAAATATGCGTTTGTTTTCGTAACAAAATATATATCTAATAAACTATACTTGTTTTATTATTTTATAACTGGTTTATGAAATAAACTTGTAGTTCTGTTATTAATGACTATTTATGGCAGGTTTATAAAATAAACTTGTAGTTTTGTTAAATATGACTATATTTTATTGCGGGAATATTATTCTATTACTACACTGGTTTGTTATATCAGGAGAATATTATTCTATAACTACACTGGTTTGTTATATCAGGAGAATATTATTCTATGACTACAGTGGTTTATTAGATAAACTTGTATTTTTATTGTTTATAAAATAAACTTGTAGTTTTTTTGTATATTGCTGAGTATTATTTGTAGAGTATTTTGTAAGTATAACTAATACCCTGTGTTATTGTGTTTAAAGTGTTCATGTCTTGTTATTTACCAGAAGTAAAATATCTCTAATAGAAACATATTTATTCTTCTTGGGTTTTTTTACATCAGTGAGAAGAAGCCTATTAAATTCCAATGATTTCCGTTAATTTCTTCTGGGGTTATGGCCCTTGTTTCACTTTGTTGAACCTTGTGAACGCTCTAACAACAGACGTTATCACCCGATCTGTATGTATCATTTACATTGGTGACACGAAGAAGCTTGTTGAATTTCAGCAATTTCTGTTAATTACGTATAGAGTTATGGCTCTTGTTTCACTCTGCTAAACCTTGTGAACACTCTAGTGACAATTCAAATCAAATAAATGACTGTCACTAGATAAGAGAAAACGAGAAAAATAGAAAAGGTCCGTGCATTACCATGTTTTTATTAATTATAGAATAAATAAAAACAAGGGAATGTAAGGACTATGTCTATTTGTCTATTTTTCTCGTTTTCCCTTATCTAGTGACATTCAATTATATTTTTTTGAATTGTCAGATATCCTCCCACAGTCTTCGAAGGCATTATTAGTTGGCAGAAATTCGCTTGTGTACCTGTTATCACTTGTCACTTCAGTCAGGTATATAGAAGGATAATTCGTGTTTTCCTTTTGCGTTCGTCACTTCCCTTTCTTGAGGTCTTAATAACACTGCTATCGTATCAATGATCTTTGTGTTAAAAGTATATTTGGAACGTGTTTAACCAGTTCTATCACATATGTGATAATGACTTGCACCAATATTGCCCTTTAAATTCAATCATTCTAGGTATCCCAGCATCGCTTACCATAGGTGCTGAATTTACATAAAGAGGGACCCTAGACTATTCCACATATGGGGCCCCTGGCATTCCTCACGACTGAGGAAGATGAAGCTGAAATTGTGTTTTAAACACAATTTACCTTTCCGTCAGAGACCTGTAGCTCCTCCCACTTTTTATAATAACGTCACCTTAAGACGACATTGACGCGCCTTCGACATTTATAAACAAACATGGCGATGACAGACTGGAAATTGCAAACATAGCTGGTTGGTTAAAACCCTTTTGTGGGCGGAGTCGATAGAGAGGTCAATTGAGCAAAGCCGAGGACGATGACGGTTGTTTAAGTCTACACAGCATAAATAAATGTTTATATACAACTGGCGGTAGTTTTTTATTTGATGTCCATAGCAGTTATATCTCATAAGAACCTGTCATGACGTCATCATAGGTTGATATATTCGGTTCATATCAACCGCTGATGACGTCATCTCAGGTCGATATATTCGGCTCATATCAACCACTGATGACGTAGATGATCGAAATAATACAAAGAACACAGAAATAAATTTTGATTCTTTTGGCAATTAAAAATTGTTATGATAAAGTTTGTAGCATTCAGGACTGAAATAGACGGCGAACTTATCGGCATATTTAAATCGGTTATCCATACTCCGGACTAAGATATCTTTCAGAATTTTCTTTCCGTCCACATTTTGATTATTTCTCCATAAACTCCACGACTTGAAAGTATTTATCGCCCAAGAGTTCCTTTGTAAAGTATTTTTGGGTACAGTCCACTTAAAACAGTCGGCCAAATCATTCTTTGAACATAACCGAAAACCTTAAATCACGGTTCACTGTCAGAATTATCGGAAGAGATTGCCTTTTGATCCAAATTTTCTTCAGACTTTGGTTAGATCCTCATCGATATTTGCATTCACATCTATTCCATCGTCAATATGTTGGCTAAAAAGGATTGATTATTCGTCTGACTTCGTATTACTATCCATTTTGTTTTTGCTTTCAATTAAATAACTCCAAAATGGCGACGTATAACAAAAACATGCACGTATATCACGCGATTACTTCGGTAATTGTTGCTATTTGGCAAAAACTACCGAGCAATTATCCAATCATTGTTGCCTTTTAATAGAAGAGCTCATTAAATTTAAGGGTGAAGTGGCGTTGTATTTGTCGGATATATACCTACTCTCCCTCGGATTGATATGATAGAGAACACTTGGACGTGAAAATAAAAGAAGATTTGATCAGTAGAAAAGAGGGGTAGGCGTAAATGCGGCTGCCAGGTCAAAATTCTCAACCCCCGCACATGGTAACATAACATAACAACATCCAAATTTATATAACTTAATAAATACTCGAATTAGGAGTTCCAAATGCGCTTGCAAAGTTATACATTTTGATTCCATTTCATCCATAGTGTTGTATGAACATATGAGTTGTCAGTCTTGTTTTGAACATGCAGACGGACTTTGATTCTTTAATATGAAGGGGTAGTGAATTCTACAGATGAGTTGAAGAGTACTTAAGATTTTGCTGTAATGTATGTGATTGTGAACGTGAGATTCTGGATGTAACATAAGCATAACATATGTAGAAAGTACAGTTTTTAATATATTTGGTCGAGCATTAGGGTAGCGAGAGGCCGAATCCTGTAAAATTTCAGAACTTCCGTTATGGAGTTACGCCACCTTTTCCGAAAACCTTGTGAATGTGCTAGACGCTACTGTTTTGAACAGATTTTCTAAAAATACAATTCGCGTGAGTAGGACTAATTTTGGCCACGAGAGACCAATCTCCAACTACCTTCCGTTCCAGAGTTGCGTCCAAGGTTCCGACTACCTTCCGTTCCAGAGTTGTGTCCACGGTTCCGACTACCTTCCGTTCCAGAGTTGTGTCCACGGTTCCGAAAACATTGTGAATGTGATAGAATCTATGAATCCTATGCGACCGTGCCAAAAGACATGGTCACGAAAATAGGCTTCAATGTAAGTCCATGACTTCTCAAAACACGGAAAACATGATCGAATCTCTTAAGATGCTCCGAAAAAGATCTGGCCAACACCATCAGGTCATCTAATAATATCAACACAATCTTTAAAACATCATACGTTTGAATTTAAATAGTCCAAATTAGTTCGTGAAAGCCGTCTTGGGTTGGTCTTTTTTATCCATGCCGATCTGTTTATACCCGGATAATAAATCTAGAGAACAACCAAGGCTTTCCTCGATACGTGACAAAGGTAACGAATCCTTAACCATCCTTACATTTAGGTGTCTGTAATCAACACAGTCTTAATTCGCCAGACTTCTTTCAGAATATAACTATCGGTGAAGAGTACGGACTGTAAATAGGAACTACACCATTCATATCTACCAGTGTTTTAATACGCTTTCGAACCTCATCAAGCTATGCAGGTGATGTACGTCGATATGGTAATTTTAAAGGAACTTCATCTAAAAGATGAATCTGATGAGTCATCCCCTCGTTTACTAAAATCGTTGGAATATGTCAGTAGTAAATCCTCCAGCTGCTGACGCTGAACAGTATCAAAAGTTTCTGGAATAGGTACAGGTGGAATAACAGGATTCTCCCCAACTTCGAGCAATGTATCCTCTGTCAGTTTTTCCACAAATACATAATCGGTGTTCACAGACAGGTTTATGCTTTCCGTATATATATCCGCCCCCGCCACTGTACCTATACAAGTTCGGGATTTTAAGATAATATCACTTCTTTAAGTGGCACTTAGTAATTGAACAGTAACGCACTAACACTATTTATGTAATAACAATTACTGGTTTATAGTCGAAACGTTGCATGTTAATAAACAAAATAATATCAGATTCTGCAAAATTAGCAATTTTCAGTTGATTGTATAAGAGTGTTACAAACAGCAATATTATTGGGTATATGCGTTCTAGTGTATAGTTCTTCTACGAAGGCTGAAACATTGCGGGGTAAACGAGGCCCAGTTACCCGTACTGCTTTAATACATTTCGAGGGTAGAACTCCAGGAATGTTTCCGGCGACCTTCAAAAATCCAAGAAGCTTATTTTCGTTGCGCGATAACGTTGCAGTGACATTCTCAACAAAACTCTGTTTAACGAAATTTTCATATGTGTTCAAATATTTGAGAGCGTGGCTCCGTTTGCTAAATAATTGGTATTAGTTATGACTTTGGGGTGTAGCTCAGTGTACTATTAGTTCGGGGATCTTTCACGTTCTCACAGTATATTCTGGATATTCTGGGGGATCTAAAAATATTAAAGACTGGCACAGTAAGAATCATATATACTATTCAAAAAAAGTAGGGGATATTTGATTTTGGGGGCATAATACTAAAATATGCAAATGACTACGAAAAAAGTCACTATAGAACCTAACAGAAGAAACATTTCCAGTTACATGTGACGCCCAAACGCACCAATAGCTACCGCATGGAATGCAGGTGATGCTTGGGATCATCATGGGGGTCCAACCCAAGATTTGCACGACTCTGACTTTGAATGTTACAGTCATTGTGGCATTGAATTCCAGGGTGGAAACATCAGTTTAATTGTTTTAGTGACCAGAAAACAAATTTTGATATGCGTCGGCTTACCCAAAATGAAAGGTTACGTGCCCTTGGCATGCTACAGATCGGCACAACACAGGCGGTTGTGGCGCGGACGATGAATGTTTCTCAGTCTGTCATAAGCAGGCTATGGTCCAGATACCGTGATACACAATCTGTACAGGACAGACCACGCTCAGGTCGACCAAGGGCGACAACTCAAGCCCAAGATCGATTTATCCGTACCTTGGCCTTGAGAAATCGTGTCATCACAGCAAATCAGATCAGCGCTTGTCTTCAAACAGACACTGGTGTGAGAGTGAGTGGCCAGACGATTCGGAATCGACTGCATAGGGGTCACCTTCGCGCCCGACCTCCTCGCGTGATCCCTTGTTTGAGAGATCATCACATTCAGGCAAGACGTCGTTGGTGTAGGGATCGTCAACACTGGGATAATCGACGCTGGAGCAATGTGATGTTTTCAGATGAGTCAAGGTTCACTGTTGATTTTTTGGACAGACGTAGGAGGGTGTGGCGTCGTCGAAACGAGCGCTTCCAAGACTTTAACGTCATCTGACATGATCGATTTGGGGGTGGTTCTGTTATGGTGTGGGGAGGCATCACTGTTGCTGGAAGAACGGCTTTACATGTTGTTGCAGGGCGTGTTACAGGCCAGTACTACCGGGACAACATCTTGGC